TCTGATCGCGGGTATGGTCATAGGTAATAGTGTTCGAGTTCCCTAGTGTCTGTCGAGGCTAGCATTGACCATTCTCAGTTCTCGGCGCATTTCGGAAAAGAAATGCAAGAAGTCCCCCGACAATTCCTTCGTTTGCCGCGCCAACTTGGTATGTTCCGCCCACAGGGCTTCAAAGCTGAGATCTTCACCAAGAGCAACCAGTCTACTGCTCTAAGCCATCCTTGCTCTGATACCAAACCTGATGTAAGGCTTGACCTGCAAGGATGATAAAGAAGCAAGCAGGCAATGAATAATAATAACTGTGTATAAATTGTATGTTAGTGAAATAACTATCTTCCTTCTTACATTTTCTCTATCTATATGGCAGCATTCTTGCACGCAGCCAACCTAGGTAAGGGTTAAAAGGGTAAAAGTACCACTAATACTAAAAACAGCTAGCAAATATGGAGGTATCAACTATAACAAATAGCATAGTGGGGTTCATCCCAAACTAATAGAATATAAAAATTTTAGGCAAATCGTTTATTTTGTATCAAGTGAGATATCTTTAACAGATTTGGGGTCTAGCTTATATCTACCAATACAATCCATATACGCATAAGAAATAGAACTAAAAACTTTTATATTAATCCAAATTTATTTTGGCAGTTTATAGGACAATGGAATTGAGGGTTATTTGCATATAGAATCAGCCCAAAAAAGTGTATAACTTCATGTGTATAGCTCTTCATTAAAAGTTATGCCCCTACGATAGATATTCCCATTTTGTAGTGACATTATTGGAATTTACCTCTACACGGAATCTACTATTCACACAATTTTATGAACTCACTATCATTGTCTTTTCCATTGAAGTGATCTTAGTTTTTTATTTTTACACAAAATTCATCTTTATTGGACTTCTTCACTTTTTTAGAAGTAAACACATTAGACTTATTTTAGAATATAAATTTAAGCATTTTTTGTGTAATTGTCGATGAAGTTGACGTAATAAATGAGCCATATGGATGCCGCTGGGGATAGCCTTCACACATTGATGTTTGTAAAACTAAATTTTCTCTTTATTGCGGTCTTCACAAAAGCAGAATCCTACTACTTTAAATTTGATAATAGCTTTTTGAATGTAAATTCCTTATCTTTTTTCATTCATATGTCCCAACCTTCAATATCATGTGTATGAATAAATTATCAAGTCTATTGTTGCTCTTGTTATTATGGTGTTTGAAGTTCTATATAACGTGCCATTTTTTCTATCATGTGCTGTCATCATGACACACCTGGTTGCGTTCAAAGTGCTAGTACTGAAGATCTAGTTATATCCTTCTTCATCAAAGAATCAATTGGAAATCTAATTCTTCTTCAAGCTTGTAATATGTCTCGCTTTATGAAACATTCACATAATCCCATTTACAATTTTGATTTGAATATTGCCAACACCTATAATTCTTAAGAGCTCATCATCCATGAGATACACTTTATTATAATTAATTGCAAAATAATTAAACATGTGCTGTTTATATGAAGTAGAGTGAAACGTCACAGCTGAGTGCAAGATCCAGATTACGTGGGACTATTGACATAAAAAATCAATGAATCATAAATTTCCTTTAATTCATTCACAAACTCTTTTTCTAGTTCATATTTTGTCCACTTTTCTTCTATGGGCATCACTTCTCACCTGTTTTCTCGTTTCTCATTGCTAGCACATGTTATTTCCACCTTTAGAGCTTAGATTAACTGATGTCAAAACCAGGAGTTGTTTTAAGAAATTAATAAAAGTTGTTGGAGCAATGATAAAATTAATCTTAAGGCGTCTCAAAATTGAAGAATCAAGAAAGCTCTTAGAAGCAAACAATGCTTAGGCAATCCATTACAACTAAATTTGCAAGTTCTTTAAAATAACAACTTAAACAAGAGTAATGAAATGATTAGTCAACTAGAAGCCGACGGTTAACAAAGTGATCGTCTCACCTTGAGGCTCAAAGGCTCAAAGTCACTCTTCTACGTCTAGGGTTGTCGGAGGAAGACGAACCATACAAGAAACAAAATCACTCCAAGGTAGACGACTCAGATGATCCGTAGTGATGTAGAGGGATGCGGCGGTGGAGGTGGAGAAATGGGTGGATGTCCGTTGATGGTCCACTCGTAGTCCGAGAATTGATCGTCGTGGATGTCCACGAGATGGGTGAGGATTTGGTTCAAGTAATCTTCAACGGTGTCGTCAAAACCAAACCCGACGTCGAAGAATGGTGATCGAACGATGTGGATGTCTCCGTGGGCGTCGAGTACGAATCCGTGGTTAACTTCGGGATCCGCCATACATAATTGGCATGTAGATGAGAGAGAATGATAAGACAATCCAAGAGAGGAGAGGTGGTGGCCGGCTTGGGGATGTGGAGGGGAGAAGCTAGGCTCCTTGGTCGAAACGAGGTTAGGTTGGGGGTGGATGGGATTAATTCTAAATATGAAATTATTCTCAGATTTAGATTAATTTGGGAGGGAAGCAATTTGAAATTTGATTTCAAATTGAATACAATTAATGCCTTGATGGAGGAGTAATTTGGGGGATCCAAGAAAGAGGAGGCCGGCGGTATAGAGAGAGAGGAGATTGAGGTTTAGTCTAAAAAATTGAAATTAATTTTAGTTTTAGAGAGTTAGGAGGGAAAATATTTGAAATCAAATTTGGATTCCAAATAAAGGGTGAGGGTTAATGTGCATTCAATGGGGAGAGCCCATCAAGGGCCGGCGACATCAAGGAGGGGAGGGGATTGGGGAGGATGAGGGGGAGTTTCCAAATAGGTGGTGATGACTAGGAAAGAAAATTTATTAAATCCAATTTGATTTAATTTAAAATTGAATTCAACATAAAAACTTTCTTAATTTGGATTTCCTAATTTGGAAATAATTTGAAATTTGAAATTCAATTTTCAAACATGAAAGCTAGCGGAGAGAGGGGTGGTGGAAGGATGGCGGGAGGCCGGTGGCAAGGTGGCTGGCCGGTGGTGTGAGAGCAGCCGGCGGCTGGGGCTCCAAGGGGCGACGGTAAGGGGTTGGGGTCGGGTTCTTCAAGCCAAGGGTTTTATGTTGTCTTCTCTTGAGGTGGAAGAGGAAGTGATTGGAAGAGGAAGTGATTGGAAGAGGAGGATAAGAAGATTAAGAATCACGAACCTTATTCCTTAAACTATTAGAACTCACAAAGAGATCTAAAGGCTCTCTCCTCAAGAACTCACAAAGAGATCTAGAGAAGTTTTGGAACTCACAAAGAGAACAATAAGATAAAATTGTCATTCATCAACTCCCTCTCATACAAAGCATGGAGAGCCTTATATATGGATCTCAAGTCTAAAAAAAAAAAGACACAAATGCCCATGGGGCTACAAAAGACACTCACTACCCTCAGGGTTAGACTAGGAAACTGAAATGACATAAATACAAATTACAACAAATATGTCGAAAGTAGAGACTATGAATCGTGGCCATTGATCTACGCCTCCGTCGATGGTTCACGTGTCTAAATCTCTGACTGATGTCTGCATCATTAACTTATCCTTTGATTGTTATGGCAACGTCTTCTTTGAAATTTGGATCTCCCTAGATTATACCCTTTTTTTTAGTTATTCCTCCAACTTCAAGATTTGAAACAAAATAAGAAGGACATTCACCTGATTCTCATATCCCGAAGTTCTCAATTAGGATTAAGTCACAGATGCTGTTGAGCTTAAACTTTGTATATGCGCATGAACTATTGACTGTCATCACAATTATGTTCTGGCTCTTAAGAAAGTGATGCAACAAGCTCATGAGATGTACTCCTTCATAGGAGTTGATATCAACTAAACTCCATTGACTTGCGATCTGTTTGAATTCATTTGTGTGATTTGCTATAGAATCACCTTCCACAATCTTGAGATTAATTTGACTTAGCAGCTAAAATGTTTTCAATGACGCTTATGAAATCAAAACCAGGATTTGGACTTTTTTTTATACAGTAAGGCTAATGTCTAGACTTAATGACACCAATAGAACTTTCATTGTTCTTATTTTACAATCCCCCCTATTCTCTTAGAAATAAATAAAGAAATAACAACTATTGCACTCAATACATTTAAGAACCTTTGAAGAATCGAAGCCATAGTGTATTATTTGAAGTTATTAAGCTTTTATGGACAAGCAGGCAAATACATGATTACCTATGAATACTAACTCATTGAATAGTGAAAAACACACAGATTCAATGAGGGTGGTTTGTACGATGGAAGAAATTGGTTGCGGACTTGCAGTAAGGTAATCTGGAGGATGGCTTTAGGGGTAGTTTGGCTACTAAAAAGCCTTAGATAATCTTGAATTTAGGTTTAGTAAAATCTGGATACATTAAATCCTGAAAGTTGTTTGACATGGTAGATGTTTAGTTAAAGGCTGTTTGGTATGATAGATATTTTTAAAGATTTAGAGTTTGAACGAAGGAGAAGATGATGTACAGTGATGAGTAGTTGTATAAATCTCTTAAATTTCACTTCCTCTAGAATTGAAGGAATTTACGAAGTCAGTAGTATTTATATGACTGAAAAAACGGTTTGGCTACATCTTGCAACCAAACAGGCCCTTAATGGCCAATAATGAGATGGGGGTAATGATCACCCTAAAATAGTTGGTAGGAAGCTCATAAATTTGATATAATAAGTACAAACAAAAGGAATAAAAGTGGACCAATAAGCTCTTTTTTGACTGAAAGGTCACATGACTTGTTCGAATGAATTTCACTACAAGCTGAAATTTACCTCTAAATTTAGTGTATCATTGAGTTTACATCACAGCGCTTTCTCAAACTTAGGCTTCGTTTGGGACGGCTTTTTTTCCGCTTCTTAAAGCAGCTTCCTAGCACAAAAATTTTAATTTTGATACTAAGAAGTTGCTTTAAGAAGCAACAAAAAAGCCTTCCCAAACGAAGCCTTACACTGGATTATCAGCTAATGAGCTCCTTTATTCATCTCTCTTGGTAGATAATTAGGTACTCGTTCTTTGGCTTGAAGGAAACTTTTGGTGCTCCACCTTCTTGGCTCTTATGGCTGAGGTGAGGGTTCATTTTGCTGCTATATTTGTACTCCCAGCATACACTAACATTCATCTTGAATTTAACTTCTGCAGGTATAGCACCTTTTTGGTATTGTATCCAACAGGCATCACAAGTGAGGTTGGCCTCATATACATTGCCTTGTCATACATGAAGGTATATATTCCTGATGCCTTGGATATTGTTTAGTCAGATTTATTAGGAGTGTAATATATTCATTTTTTTCTGCATTCCATCTTTTTTGCTAATTGATTTAAATCAAACGAAATACAAAATAAAATCTTGAGCAATTTGAAATACTCCAAAATACTTGTTCTCCACATGCATTTGTAGATTGCTTAAATAGGCCAATTTGCTAATCCCTTGTCACGGTCTCTCTTGATTCTTTTTCTAACCAAGTCTTTTTAGGTCTACCTCTAACTTTCTTAACATAAGTCAAATCTAATACCTCAACTTTCCTAACCGGGTCATCGGAAGGCTTCCGTTTAATGTGACCAAACCATCTAATGCGACTCTCTCTAATATTATCTTCCACTGGAGCTACTCCAACCTTTTCACGTATATGCTCATTTTGTATTTTATCTCTAAGGGTAAAGCCACTCATCCACTAACCCTAATTTTAATGGCCAGCTACCTCCCCACTGCCATCATTAACCATCGTTTGCTGCCTCACACTGCATTTGATTTACATCAAATATAAAAATATATCTATTTTTATTTTAATTTATTGGTTTAGATAATGTAATTTTCTTGGTGGCATGGCAGGCATCTGAAAAGTATTGCTTGAGAATGCCCAACAAGTGGAACTTTTCTTTTGACTATTTCTATGGAGCTGTTCTGGTTCTTGGTATTTATGTACCAGGTAGTCCCCCTGTTTCATCATCCATGAAAGAAACAACTCCGTTTTGAACATCTTTAATAAAATCAATGAATGGCATATTTGCTTGCAGGGAGCCCACATTTGTATACTTACATGCTCGGGCAGCGCAAGAAAGCTCTTTCTAAAGCAAAGACAGCATAGTGGAGTCCAGCTTCCCGTTGAAAATTGTACTTGTGATAATCTATTGATCTTTCTTTGATATTTTTTTCTTCTTCTTCTTCTTATTTTTATCATTGCTTTGTTTGTGAAGAATCTGGAAAGCTACCAAACGCTAGATTCTGTTGGAGAAGTTGCTTGATCTTAAATTTTTAGTAAGCCGTCAGTGTTTGCCTTCTCTCTGTATCAATGGGATTTAGATTCAAATATATAAATGTTAACTTTGGACCTTTTGCTTTAGCGGTCAAATATGATATCATGATTAATGTTTTGTTTGGGAGGATTTTCTTGCTGCTTCTTAAAGCAACTCTCTAGTACAAAAATTTAATTTTAATTTTTGTATTAAAAAGCTGCTTTAAAAAACAGTAATAAAACTGTCCCAAATAATACCTAAGAGTCGAGTTGGTGCAGTAAATTGTAAAAGATGTTACAAAATTATCGTTAAAGAAGAGGATTTTTCAAAGTTAGTATGGTATTATAAAATCTTCTCATCTTAAAGAATAAAATCTCATGCTTACAGCTTCTATATTTAAATAGATTTAATTGTAATTTTTTTGTCATCAAAAGAAATTTCAAAAAACAATAAAATAGTTACAGCCAAATAAAAATGTGATGCTGACCTCCCTTAATTATTACATCCGGTCAAAAACCGAACCATCCGAATGTATACTGAGCAATATTGAGTGCCAAATATCGAGTTTTATGTGATGTGGCGCATGATTATTGGTTTCTGGATGCATCTGGATGTAATAATTGCTCCCCCTAAGGGCATCTCTAACTAAATACCATTTGCTCTCTAATCTGGTAAGCGTTCACCCAAACTCTAACGGTTGTGTTGTATTTTAACTCGGCAGTGAATTAATGGTGTGACATCAATATTTACGTTACACTAATTAGAATATTATTCATTTATTTTTGATTGAAAATAAATATAAAAATATAGATCATAAAGAATAGGGATATAATTTTTTTTTTTCGGTGTTAGAATGAAGTTGGGTTAAAGATGAACTATTATTTTATATAATTGTTACTGTATTTTGAAGTGAAAAATAGATTTTTCGGGTGGAGGTGTTCTAATGATTGGTTAGGGCCTTAGGGGTGTTAAATCTAATCAATGATTAGGCTTTATTTTCTGTAGTTATTTATAAAAACAACTATAGAATTATTGTGAGAAAAATAATTTTGTTAAAATTAATTGTGTTTATTATAAAAAGGAGCATGGTTTAAGTTTAAATTAGCTCAAGGAGCATTTTAGAGAAAATTTTTAAAAAGGAGTAAATACGAATTTTAATTAACCGGTTTCAATAGAAATGAGAACTTCATTATTCGTTTCCAATTTCTATTGAAACCGGTATTCCATTCTATGGTTTTAATAATAAAATAAAATAAAAATCTTTCCTAAGAAACCGGATGTCTGTTAACTGGTTTCTTAATAAAAATAAAATATTTTTTTTTTCAGGCGTAAACCCTAGAAATATGTATATATTTTATTGTGATTAAAATATTTAAGTGAAATAAATTTACTGATAATAATTTTCTTTTATCTATTGTAATTAAACATTTTTTTTATAATAATGGTTTTTAAAAAATTGTTGCAAAACAACAATCTATGATTAAAAAAATATCCAAATAAATCCTAAAAGCAGTTGAAACTAACAAATATATATTTGTCTTCACACAGCCTTATGCTAAAGTCACGTCTATATAACTGCTCTCTCAAGATGTTGGGGAAACAACCAAAATAAATTATATTATTTTATTAACATGACATTTGACATTACAATTAACTATGTTATCCCCTAATAATTCTTTAATTTCATCAAAATTTCATATTCTTTCCCCAGTTGAATTCAAGCGGAAAAAAAAAAAAAACAATAAAGCATCTTCGATCATAAGTGCAATACTTCGATACGAACAATTATTACGTTCTTCGACCGGACGGAGAGGAACGTCCGGTCGGAGGCCAAATCCCGTCAAAAAACGAGTTGTACCGAGCAATACCAAACAATAACGAGGAATACCATCATTTGAAGACCCAATACCGAGTTATACCGAGCTAAATCGAGAAATACCGAGTTATACAAAAGTTGTACCGCTAGAAAAACTCGGTACAACTCGGTATTTCTCGGTACAGCTCGGTATAACTTGGTATTGGTCTTCAAAGAGAAGTATTCCTCGTTAATATCAAATAATACCTATTTGTACCAAGTAAATACCGAGTTTTTTGGCGGGATTTTGACTTCAACCGGACGTTCCTCTACGTGACGTAATAAAAGTTCCTTCGATACAGGCACTTAAACTAGTTTCAATTGATCATTCCATGCCTCCTTCAAAAGCTCTCTTCATTTCATGAAAACAAGTTTTTGGGTTCCTAAATCTTCATCAAAAACTTTTTTTTTTTTAATTTTTTTGAGAAAAATACAGTAAATGATTCATCATCAATCTACACTTAGTATACTCTCTCAGAAAAAAATTCATCATATCAAAAAATTCGATCTAAATTATAATGACGAAGAACACCAATGGATCAAACATATCAAGCCAAAGCAATGGGTATCGCCGCCCTACTAACCGTCGAGACAGAAACAAGATAATCCTGTGAGGTAAATGACGAGGCCGACATCTCCATTGATTGCAAAGGTGTGGGGAGAACACTCTCACGACAAACAGGACAACTATTATGTGAATTAAGCCACATGTCAATACAATTTGTGTGAAAAGAATGTCCACACTGCGCCATCTGCCGCACTTGCTCTCCCTCCTCAAATGCGGAAATACAAACTGGGCATTCCGCCTCCGGTGCGCCCTCCTCCTCATCATCTTTTCTCTTCATATAACTATACGTCGGCATCCATCGCCGCAAATCGTCTTCATTGAATTCGCGGCTGAATGCGCCGCGTGATACAATGAATTGGCGAAGCCAAGAGCAGCAGCCAACGGCGATGGCATTGGTGACGAGGAGTACGATGGCGACGAGTGAGAGGCCGACGACGAAGTAGTAGTAGTCGAGTTTGGTGGATTTGTTGTTATGGTAAGGAGGCGGTGGTGGTGACGGAGGTGGTGGAGAAGCCATGTAGACTGTAGTTGGGGTAGGAAATTAGAGGAGTTGGGATTTATTAGGCGTGCCGGCCAGGTTTGGTCAATAAGTGGATTAGTTTAGTGCAGGAGTGATTGGTGGTGGGTTCCATTGACTGTGTCGTAAGTGATGGTTGGGCAGGAACTCTTGTTCTTTGCATTGTTTTGATTAAGCCGATCGTAATTAAGATAAAAAAAAAAATGGAGAAAGTTTTGGGTGAGGTACTATTAGTAAATTATATGTTTGGCCAACTCCATTTTACACGGGCAAAATTATTATGTGTGGTCACCAGTCTGCCGTCCGGAGACCAATCAAGATGCGCCACATCACCAATATGCTGCGTATCATTACTGAGTATCGGGTGACGTAGGGCGTCCTAATTGACCTCCGGACGGTCCGATAACCGCACGTAATAATCTCTTTTTATGTGGTGTGTCTTAGCTCCTTTTCAATACCATTACTTCAAAAAAGACTTTTTCATCAACTTATCTAAGCTTAATTGTTTATCACCTAAGGAACTAGTCAAAAAAAATAAAATATAAAATTTTTGTACTAAAAAAATTATTTTAAGAAGCACTAACAAAGCTACTCATAGGGCTGCAAACGAACCGAGCCGAGCCGAGTATGTGAGTGTTCATGTTTGTGTTCATTTAATATCAGATTGTTTAAGTTTGGTTCATGTTTGTTCGAGCTTTATTGTTTGTGTTCATGTTTGGTTCATTTAAATTTATGAGTGTTCATGTTCGGTTCATGTTCAATTCATGTTCATTTGTTTAGTGCTTATCAAGCTTGTTCGCGAACATATTTAATGAATTTTTTTTAACTATCAAACAAACACGTTCATGAACATATCTATGAATAAACATGTTTATAATAAAAGCAATTTTCTATGTAACAAAGACAATGATTATTTATATTTATTAATTTTATAGTCAAATATTAATTATTTTTATCGAGCTTATTTACGAGTTCAAAATCGAACACGAATCGAGCTTTTATCGAGCTTGTTCACGAACTTCAAATGATGTTGTTCGCGAACATAAATGAGCTAAACGCATTAGTGTTCAAGTTTGTTTATTTAAGAATCGAGTATTTAAAATATTGTTCAAGTTTGTTTGTTTAGTTAATTAAATGATCACAAACGAGCTTTAATCGAACCGAACAACGAGTAGCTCGTCGAACGTTTGGTTCGCTTGCAGCCCTAGCTACTCATACACACAATACATATTCAAGCTATAGACTTAAGACTTATTGATTGGTAGCCAAAACTCCCAACCAACCGATCAAGCTCAGATATATTTTATGATAAATTTGAAATTCCCCCCGATGAGGTACAAGCTTCTAGCATTCAGCAACGCAGGATGAAGCAGCCCTAAGCCGTGTGGAGAAAACACTAACGGTCAATCATCATTTTTTTGTTTTATTTTTAAAAAATAATAAACATATGAAAATTCCGCCGGTAATAAGTGATTTTCCTGTAGTGTTAGATATATGAGACATATGAATAATGCAATGGGATATAAAAGAAGTCCTAAAAGATAAACTAAATTTGTTTTTTTTTTCAAATTAAAATTAATATTTTAAAAATTTATCAATAACATATGCATTTAACTCTAAATAATTGGTAGATTTTTTTTTAAGGTCATAATTAAGATTGTGAAATTCAAATCGGACATTAAACCGAAAGGAGAGGCTCACGATTAAATAACTAAAAATATTATTAAAAATTAATAAAATTTGAGCATTTTTTTTTCTTATTTTCACTAGGAATAAAATCCAGACTCATAATAATATGACAATTTAGCTAAACAATTTTGAGAAAAATTAAGGAGGCATTTGCACAAACACTTTGGTGCATTGAGCTGCTTCTTAATAATCATGTATGGCTGAATCCAAGAAATTTTCACACCTATTAGCTGACATTCTGACATCATTCTCATCCTGCATCAAATTATCAACCATTCCTCGAATGTACCTACCTGTGACGCAATCGGGATTCGGCTGATTGTTCAAATTCAACATTCAAATGATATAATATGCAGAACAAAACAAATAAAATTGGAGTGCCGATAGAAGAAACATCCATGAGACGAGAATGTAAAAGAAGACATACTCGTTTGCTTTTGCTGTAGATTTAGCGCCATGAAGACATACTCGCGCGCGTGTGCGCACACACACACATATATATATATTAAAGGGAATTTCAGAATTATTAAATTTATTTTTAAATGAATTTAAAAATTAATTAATTATTTCTGCATAATACTTATAGCAATGAGATTCATTTTATTTAAAATTTGGTAATTATATTTGATACATCCCAAAAAATCATTTTGACCAGACACAAATCTTGATGCATATATGAATTGAAAACTTTCAACTATAAATTTAGGACTATCTGAACTCTAATTTCAACAAACTTATAGTCAAATTGAATGTCTCAAAGAGAATAACTCAACGATATCAAAATTAGTCCAATCTGAATCCAAATGAGCCCAAATTAAAGGGCCAAAATATATTTGGATGCTTTAGTGCATTTATTGGACGACCAAATGATATCAAAAAATCAAGCAACTCGACGAGATGAATCCAACAAGCCTAAGATTACTTAATTTCGACATCATCAAGGGAATTGAATGTTGAATTAATGCTCTATGATAAAGAGAATTAATATGAGCCGTTTGATGGAGCACTTCAAAATTATCCTGAATTATAAATAAATCTTCACTCTTTACATGAAGGAGACCTTTGAAGCTTGGACTTTTGGAGCCTTAGAATTTGGGCTAGAGACTCAAAAGAGCTTCGAGGCTTAAAGCATCCTAAAACAAGCCTTAGAATTTAAGCATGTTGAACATCTCTATTGTTGAACATCTCTTAATTTAAGCATGTTGAACATGCTTGAAGTGGTTGTTTAAATTTCTGTCTCCATCAACTACAACAACTTAAATTAAACTTAGTCTTTAATTATGAACATGCTTAAAACACCTATAATTCTAATCTCACCAAATTTTAATTTGCCCATAATCAAACCTCATCAACTCATCCTATAATAAACCAAAACTTGACCCTTAGTACCAAGTTATTGAACTTATGCAAGGGGATTACAAAATCAACTATTCACTGAAGGAAATCGATTACTCGCCCAAAATACTAGCAAAATTATTTGGATTCTTGCTAGAAGAACTCATCAAATGTACTCACATTGAATTTTAAACTCACCCGATGATCAACAAGCAATCGACTACAAGCAAGACTTGCTAGCTAAATAAATGGCTACACCCAGTCAAAATTGTATACTTTGTGAACGCATTGAAGACAATTTTGCAACACAAACATTGATCCTCACTTATAAATAGGAGTAATTAGTCAAGCGCAAGCATCACGGGGTCATATACTTCATACTGAAACTCTATGATATACTAGGGGCCTATGGGAGTTAATATTCACTATGTAAGAAGGAGAAATCAAGGAAGAAATAATTAGGAAAGTTTATTTAGAGAAAGATGGTCGATTTGAAGTTAAAAGTGGAGAGGAATTTAAGAAAGATTTATTTAAGGAAAGATTGCAGATTTAAATTCATACTTGGAAGAAAATTAGGAAGGTTTTATTTAGGAAAAAATGACAGATTTGAATTCAAATTTGGGGCAGAATTAGAAAGGCTTTATTAAGGGAAAAATGACTAATTTGAATTCAAATTTAGAAGAAAAATATGATGGTTTATTTAAGGGTAATTATGTTGTTTTATTTTTATTATGTGATTTATGTTTGTTGTAGTTTTCTTAGAAGTTGTTTCTAACGACTTCTAGAATTTTTGGGAGAGCTGATCTATCTCTCAAATAGTTGATTACTTTTATCTTTATTTCTTTTTTATCGAAAAGATAATAAAAAATCAGCCCTTATATTTATATTCATGCAGTTTCTACTTGTTTTCTTCGTTGTTTTTACTTCCAAGACGTATCACTCTATCACATTGAAATCTATCAAAATCTCTATGATATTCTCTTCAAAATTTTCTTCTCTCTTTTTGAATCATCTCTATAACTTATTTGGACTTGCCCTATTTATCTAAGGGGTTCAATTGGATCCTTTGTAGAATGATTCACTTGAGAGAATCTTTAAAATATAATCTTGCTTTCTCTGTCCTTTTGTCCATTAAGGTTAATCCATATCTTTAATATGATTTTGATATATTTCCACTAGCAACTTTGAATCCATAACAAATTGTCCAGTAATCAAATTCTAAAAAAGGGAGAAAATCACATCAACTCATTATGCATATACACTCGTGTAATTAATTAAAATTGAAAAATAAAAAAAAATATATTCATCTTTAGAGAACATGAGAACCCAAAATACCGTTGATCAGATATTCAGGAAAAAGAGTAACCAACTCAAGTGCGAGGTAGAGATGAGAAATACCGTTTAAGCTCATGAACTTCTATTGATAATAACATGTTTTATAGAATAAAAACTTGACACAACAGTCAGTATAACAGGAATGTAATATGAACTTTCTCAAGTTGAAATAAGCTCATGTTCAGTGGTTACCAGATGGGGAGGTCGCATTGACACATGAACTTCATGTTCTTCTGGCCCAATACCATGTTTGGGAACAATGATCTCAAGCACAGTGCCAGTCTCATCATAATAAGCTTCTAGATTAGCTTTCTCTGGAATACTAGTTGCAAGTTGTATTTCTCTAACAAATTCCCAAGGAGGACAATGCTCAGGAGAAGGATCAGATAGCTTGAAAGTTCTATCAAGTCTCTTTAAGAAAGGTATTCGTCCGGTGCTCATGCAGGATATCTTCACAATTCCATGAGTAAGGTTGTTCCTCCAGTACACCTTCTCTCTCTGCTGATCAGACAAAGACAAGCTCACCATTATAAGATAACTTTCGCCATCCTCACAGGACCATATACATGTCTCATCAAACCAGTAAACTCATTCATCCATGAGGGTTCAGAAGGGTTGATGCCCATATCCGGAGGACACTA